TGTCTCTTCACACTGCTGGTGGTTTCTCTTGCTGTGCAGAAGCTTTTTAATAAGAAGAGATCCCACTTGTTGATTGTTTGTGCTAGTTCACGAACAATTGAGATTTTGTTCATAAAATCTTTTCCTACACCAGTGTCTTCAAGAGTTCTACCTAACCTCTGTTCCAGGCGGTTCAGCGTTTCTATTTTAATATTTAGATCTTTAATCCACTTCAATTTTAGTTTAGTGCATGGTGAGAGATAAAGGTCTAGTTTTAATCTTTGGCAAGTTGAAACCCAATTTTTCCAGCAGCATTTATTAAAGAGGCTGTCTTTCCTCCAGTGAGGGTGTTTGGCTCCTTTATGGAAGATGAGATGGCTGAGTGTGTCTGGCCTTGTTTCTGCATCTTCTAATCTGTTCCACTGGTCCTCATGTTGCAGAAATCTTGGAAAGAAATACACAGAGACACAGAATTTGGATAAAATAATAAAATTTCTTCTGGAGAGCAGGCGGGAAAGCCAGAAACCAGTCTGGTCAGTATCTGTGCCCCCTTTATTCAGCATTTCCCTTTTTATATCCTTTTTAGCCATTATCTCATCCCTAGTGGTCTTTGATATGTAAATACAATTCCAGTTTACAAGTCATGGACACAAGATTCACAGCCATAAACTTCCCTCATAGAATTGCTTTCATTGTGTCCCATAAATTTTGGTATGTTGTACTGACATTATAATTTAATTCTAGGAACTGTCTTATTTCTTCTTTAATGTTTTGTGACCCATTGATTATTCAAGAGTTTGTTGTTTAATTTCCACGCATTTGCATAATTTCTGTGGTTTCCTTTGCCGTTACTTTCTAGTTTCATTGCATAGTGATCTCATAATATGGATGGTAAAATTTTGATTCTTTTGTATTTACTTAAGCAGGCTTTCTTACTTACAGTGGACCCTTGACTTTCGAACTCAATTGGTTCCTGAGGGCTGGTTGTAACTCAAGTTGGTTGTGAGTCAGTACAGCTGAGATCTGGATGTTTACCTGGGTACATGCTATAGATAACAAGAGGTAGATGAATCTTGCATTAACCTAATTAACCCAAGTTGTTCATATGTCAGGCTGGTCATAACTTGAGGTCCACTGTATGTGAAAGTACCATGAGCTGCTGAAAACAATGTGTATTCTATCGTTGTTGGTTGGAACACTGTATATATCTATTAAGTACATTTATTCAAAGGTTTGGCTTAACTCTGATATTGCTTTGTTGATTTTTTGTTTGAACTATTTGTGGTAATGGGGTATTGAGGTCCCCAATTATAACTGTATTGATGTTTATCTGCTCTTTTATGTCCATTAATGTTTGTTTTATGAAGTTGGGTGCACTGTGGTTTGGTGCATATATGTTTATAATTGTTATCTCTCCCTGTTAAATAGTTCCATTAATCAATATTTAGTATCCTTCTCTACCTCTTTTGATCAGCTTTGACTTAAAGTGTACTTTAAGCATAGTATAACTACTCTTGTTTTGGGGCTTTTATTGCATGGAATATTGTTTTTCATCATTTGATTTTTAGTCACATAGACCACAGCCCAAGATAAACATGGCTCATCTCTTGCAGTGTTAATTGTACTCATTTCCCTCACTGGGGAGGGGGTGATCAGGCAGTGCCATTTGCCTATGAAGATTTGCATCAGGGCAAAATTCAAATAAATTTTTTAAAATGACTCTTTAGAGACCTGCAGCTGGCAGAGTCCAGACCTGCACCCCTTGGGGCTTGGGTCCAGCCGCTTATGCCTGTGTGGGGATGTTCTAAGAAGCCTTGCCCTTCTGGAAGGGATCCTGTCTTAGAATCTACCCAAGTCAGTCAGAACCTAGACCTAGACTTTGACTCCAAAGTTCGTCCTCTGTGGGACCACAAACGGCACTCCTGTTTTGTAGGCTTTGCTGCCACCCTTATATCACAGACCCCAGGGACCCTGCCCCTTCCTCCCACTGAACCCCCAAGAGGGAGGGAGGGGCCAGTGGGGCTCTGTGAGCCAGCATCTGTTGCTCTGCAGGTTCCTGGCGCTGGTGCAGGAGAAGTACCCCAGGACCACCCGGTCCGTGGGCTGGACCACCCTTTACTTAGCCCCACTGCACACCA